CTAGTTCGGGTTTAGTTTAGTTGAACCAATAGAAGGCTAGAGTTGAAGCAAATCTCTTGGTTAGGTGCACGGATCCAAAGTTAGGTCACGGGTCATGCATAGTCTTTTATTCTGCAATGATGCTATTTTTTTCATTTTTTATACTATAAAACTCATTTTTTTTTCATTTCACAACCTACTTATAATTTTTTTTTTCTCTTTGACAAACCAAGAATGGCTGGCCAATTTTTAACCCAAAACCCACTAAAACCCAAAATTTGACAGGTGACCACTATTTGCACTGTCTTATGTCATTGTTCACCACCAGTCAATGTCATCAAAAAATTTTCAAATTTTGCCTACACGACCATCGTGATCTTTTTTTTGCTATTTTCACCTTAGTTCCTCCAAAAAAGCCACCAAATTTTCTAAATCTAGCCTTAAAGTTTCGACTAAACACGTACCTTTTTTTTTTTTTTAACTTTCTGACTTCCTTTTTTCTTTTCTTTTGGTGTTGTGGCTCCCCATCCCAAAAAATATGGTTTTTTTATTTTGGGATGTATTTTCTATGATTTTTTTTTTACAAACTAAGGCAGTTGTTCTTTAAGTTTTTTTTTTTTGTTTGCTTTTTTTCTTTTGTGAAGCTTAGGATGGTTTGATGGACTTGCAGCTTGGTTCTGATAGAGTTGGGGGTGGTTTAGATGGGTTTGCTATAGGAAGGTCGGTGATGGTGGCTTGGTGGTAAGGAAGGTTTTTAGGCAGGTCAGTCCGATGGTTTAGTGGTAGTATGGGCTGGTGATGGTGAGATTTTTGTTGGGTCGATTATAATGGGTGGTGGTAGAGGTTTTTGATGAGTGGTCTCAATCGGTACTGCAACTTGGGTGCTGGTGAGAGTATGCTTGGGGTTGGTCTTGGTTGTAGGCAATGACTAATTTCAATTTCTTGTTTTTCCTTTCCCTTGGGTTAGTCTCCCCTCATTGAACATGAATGCATCTAAAATTTTATTGAAAAGCCCAGACCCTCTATTTCCCACACCTCTATCTAAGAATTAAATCCTTTCGAAAAGGGTTATTGGTAATTTTGAAATTTTCTTTTAGCATTGGTTGCATTTGGGGCTTTACAATGCTACATTTCGAGGAACAACAAGGTGAAAGTTTTGAAAATGGGGGAAGTTGACTTTTTTAGGCATTATTCTTTTATCAATTGGTGTTGTTGGTAAACAAGGTAAAAGTAGATAGGCAAATTCTGAGAGCTAAAATTGGTGAGGCAAATTAAGGAAAGTGAAACCATGGTCTGGGGAAGGGAAAAGTGAGGGAAGGTTGTTTTTGTTTTTTTTTTTTAATTATTGTATTTATTTGTGCTAATTTTTCTTATCCTATCTTACTTTTGTCCTTAATTAATCAAAACCAAATTTGGGCTTTAATACAAAATTTGGGCTTCAATATTGAATTTGGGCTTTAACAATTAGACCAATAATGAAATTAAATCAAACTCGAGGTCACGTGAAATATTCTAAAACTATAATGAACCTAGTCTAAATATTTGAATCCATCCAATTTGGCGTGCCCCAATCAACTACAAAATCAATCACGATCGGATTATTTTGGATAAAATAAGTGTCTACAAAGCCAATAAATTAAAATCAGTTTTAAATATAGTTTGATTCATTCGGTGAATTAATAAACTTAAAAAATTTATGAGGACAATAATTAATTGTAATGTTCAAACTATCCTAAAAGAAATAGATTCGAGTGAAATGTAAATCACTTAACCAATCAATTTGGATAAGATTTAGTATCTACAATAATAATGAAAAATGTGTTACATTCTATTATAAAACTATTACACATAAAATAATAAACTAAAAAAAAATTATTTCTTTAGCTTAGGCCATTGAGCTTTTTTCTTTGAGAACCTTCAGTTCTTCACAATCTGCAGCTGCATCTGCCATTTCATGTAGAGTTCTATAGAATAGTCTATTTGAAGGTTGTGAATATGATTTCACATAAGCCTAGTGTTTTTTTCCCCCTTTTACTAATAGAACTTGAAATCTCATCCTCGATAAAAAAAGATACATTTTCTTTCCCTTTTCCGATTGCAACAACTTGGTTGAGTGTAATTTGATACTTCCTTTGGCAATCCGGGAAAACTTTTTTTTCCGTTTATAATCAAACAGTGGAGAAATCCAGTTCACTAATTTGCAGCCATTGGAACAGGAGGCCAATAATGAAGAGGTAAAGGCATATAGTGATTACAATTGTTTCTGCAGACCAATTTAATAAATTCCGGCTCAAATTTCGAAAATTTTTGTGATATATATTTTTGGTTTCATCTAATATCTAAGATATTAGGTGATCAAGTTTACTTTGTAGATAAATTTGAGGATTTATAATAGAGAAGTGTCAATTGGATGAAGAGAAAATGTAAGAAAAATTATAAGGTTTTGCCGCATTAGATATTAAATTTGTAATTGATTTTAAATTGTTAAAAATCAAGTCAAAGTGCTTATAGAAGGAGAATGTTCATAGATTTATTTGGAGTTAAAATTGGTTTATATGTGGAATTGTGTGTTTGTGAGAATAGAATTGATTGGGAGTGAGTGCTTGAACGTGAATGCTCATAGCTTTTCTATTTGAGGAAACGATTTAAACATACTACTTGCAGTCAATATTAAGAAAGATACTCGGGTACCAATCTTTTTCAGCTTTAAATTGTGCGAAGTTTAAGAACCAAAACTTATTGCGGATCAGGGAAATTGAAGGCTAGACAAGGTGCATGGGTCAATATTCATAAAGCAGCAAGGGGCCAAAAACGCATTTGTCAAAATTTTTTACTTCTTTTTTTATGGAACAAAATTTTCTACTTCAATAGAGGACATGCCGCCCGTCCAAAAGTTTTCTTAGCCCTTGTAAAGCATGCATCTTTGTTTGAAAAACATCTAAATCCCTCCAACTCGTCTTTCTTTGCTGTGTCTTTGTCTGCCTGGCGATCTTCTTCATCTTCATCCTTGCCATCACAAACTATAAAAAGTAGGCATAATCGGTTTTGGCAAAGTAATTTAGACAGTCGTGGGAGAGATGATGATCGAACAAGGCCATACTATAAGGGCAACTTCTCGGATAGATTATTCCCAGCTCTGTGATCAATTGGGTATTTCGTTCTTCAGGTTGATTGCAACATGAATATATAAAACAGATAATTTATGCAAAGCCAACATATTCATTTTTGTGCAATCCTGGTTACGTTTCTGCATTGTTAGGGATGTTCTTGCATTTGTTGCAGCAGATAACGACGTGCTGTCGGTCAAAGAACAACCCAGAAACTTTCTATTGCAAGTGAGGAATGTAGCACTACATTACAACACAAAAACGCTTCGTAGAGACAGACAATTTGAGGCAATTAGCTTATTTGCCTTTAAATCATAATTTTTAGGGACAAATATAATATGGGTCACAACATATAATGATATTTGCCTCTAATTGATATAGTATTTTTTTAATTAAAATATAATTAACATAATAAATTTATATTGTTGCTAATGGTAAAAATATATTAAATACTTACTCATAAAAGAAGGCCCAGTAAATTAATTAATTGCCTATCATATTAATGTATTGGAATTAAGCTATGTGAGGAATATCTACACGTCAAAAATTCAAAGCTCCCATATTATTATATTACCACATACTAATTAATTTATTAAATTTTTGGTTAATAGGATAATGCATGTCAAAGTTCAAATACTAATATAGTTAGACATGCTAAGATATTTTCATGTACTTGATGTCTAAAAGAACTTTGTATAAGATATTTTCATGTACTTTGAAGTCTAAAAAAACCTTTGTATACAGCTAATTTAGAAATTTTAAAGACTAAATTTAAGCCTATACATTAGGGCCTTTAGAGGTCAAAACTGGGTCATAAATAACAAAAGTGATTGACAACTTTTAGAGACTCAATTTAAGGATTGGAATCAACTGCACCGCACCTCCACTGGAAGGTCAGTTATAAAAATTTGTATCAATTGATCAAGGCACCCGTTTGGGTGTCAAAAGTATAGTGTATTTTGTGACTTTTAGTCACCAATGAAATTTGGTCCCGTGGCTAACTGGCAATTTTTTTTCTTTTATTTCATTTTTACCCTTTATATAATATTGTAATTATTAAAATATTTTCTTAATAATTTTTCTCTTTTCATTCTTTGATATATTATTATTTTTATTAATTTTAATTATTTATCAATAAAATTATTATTTGATATAAAATAATTTTTTAATTATTTATTAATTTTATAAATATTAAATCATGTAAAATTTTTATTACATATAATTTTTATTTTAATACCTTTAATAATAATTTTTTATTTTCACTACAATTTACTTCATCATAACAGTTGTTTTTGCATCTAAACACATATTTCATCATTTATTCTAATTTTACCGTTACAGTAATCAATCTTACTTGCATTACTGTTTTCAATATCATCAAAACAAATCTCACCATCCATTCAATACAATACTACCAAAAAACTTAAAGTTTAAGGCAAATCAGAACTTCCAGCAAAAAAAAAAAAAAGATTAAGATAGCCACGCGTTGGATACAATCAAATTTAATTAGCATTCATAACTCAATCTGGGCCACAGTAGAATGGGTTAAGATAAGCCAAAGTTTGTTCGTTTCTTATAGTCTAGTAGAATTGCTTAGTGTTAAATTCTAATTATTACTAGGATCTCCTTGGAAAGATGTTTTGAGTATCTAATGAATCTACAATGGTAAGGCAAATGATGAGTAACCACACTGCGATGCCATGCCATGGCTAAACTGGAACTTAAAGAACAAATACCAAAGTAATCGATTGCATTCACTTCAACAAGGAGCAGGATGGATAATCGTACATTGCGAGAATTTAACTTATTAGCCTGCATTGTCTACAGTGATACAACTGATCTTCTTGAAATGTAAATGCGTACTGTCTTTCATTGACTTAAACAAAAACTGAGTTAAAGATAGCCATCAGCTTATCAATAGCCCTTTGGGGCGAGTGGTGACTTGTAATAATAAGGAGGACTCTTGGCTGGTGGAGCTGGGGATTTGTAGTGGAATGGAGGATGCTCATGGTGAAATGGGGGTAGACAAGGAGGCTTGTAATGGTGGAAAGGGGGAGGTAATAGTGATGGTGGTGGAGGTGACACATAATAATATGGAGGTGGTGGTGATGCAGAGGGAGGAGGAGGTGATTTATAGTAATATGGAGGTGGTGGAGAGGGTGATGATGGTGGAGGAGACTTGTAATAATATGGAGGGGGAGGTGATGGTGAAGGAGGTGGTGGTGACTTATAGTAGTAAGGAGGTGGTGAGGATGGCAATGGTGGTGGCGGGAATTTATAGACATAAGGAGGGGGAGGTGATGACGATGGGGGAGGCGGAGACTTGTAAATGTATGGAAGAGGTGGTGATGATGATGGTGGAGGTGGAGAATTATAGACAAAGGGAGAGGGTGGTGGAGATTTATAGACATATGGTGGGGGTGGTGAAGAAGGAGGAGGTGGTGGGGACTTATAGGTATAAGGAGGAGGTGACGATGATGATGGTGGAGGTGGAGACTTGTAAATATATGATGGAGGCGATGGTGATGGTGGAGGTGGGGACTTATAGACATAAGGAGGAGGTAGCAATGGTGGAGGTGGAGACTTGTAAATATATGGTGGAGAAGGAGATGGTGATGGTGGAGGTGGAGGTGGTGACATGTAGAAGTATGGGGGATACCAAAAATGCTTTGGAGGGAATGGGGAGTTGTGGTATGGTGGGAACCATGCATGCTTTGGTGGTGAAGAGTAGCCATATGGTGGGTAATTGAAGTGGTGCTCCGGATAGTTGGCTACCACAGTGGTGGCTACAAGGCAGAACGCCAAAGCACATACGAGATGAGGCCAGAAGCCTGGCCATCTCCCCATTGCCATTTCTAGCAATTAAGCTCGATTGCTAGAAATTAAACTTAAAAGAATCTGAAGAAGAAGTGTTCTTTTTGTTACAGCCTGATAATACTAATTGTACGTAGCCCTTTTTATAGGGTTGTTTTCAATCATTTGTGGAACAGATAATCTTGTTTAAATGTGCATAACAGGCTGGATTAAAGACTTTAACATAATGTTCCAAATCTGTTGTCGACTTAAATGTACTATCATTTTTCAAACCTGTAAATTGTGGTTTCCCACTAGGTTGCCTTGTTTGTAAAGACATGAACTCACGATCATAGAAATGCACCCATAAATATTTGGAATTGTTAGAGTTATTAGCTTGATCCACTCTTCGTGTTGTTGGGAGATTTTTTGTTTTGGCTTTATGTATCCTTTACAAAATTAACTTGATTATAAAAAAAAATAATTTAAGTCTTTAATTAGATCTATTCATGAATCTGGCCTGACTCAGGTAAATAAATCATAAAAATTTTATCTGATCACATAAACCCTAAAATCAATGGTTAAAAATTTTAAGTTAATAAATAAATTTTTTTTTCTTGAGGAAATTTAAGTTAAAAGATTAAAACTAAAAAACACCTATATTAACATAAAGAAAAGAAAGAACATAACTATAACACAAATAGACAAACAAATATGCTGCATACGCTGATGTGTATAAGTTTCGTAAGGTAAATTAATTTCATTATCAGTTTGCGCTATTTTCACAATATTTCGTTTTATTTATAAACAAAAAAAAGTTTTTTTTGATGTGATAATGGTTTGGATTTAATCGGATTTAATTTGATTTTTTTAATAATGCATAAAATTATTAATTTTTAAAATCCAATCTAAATCAAAATCAAATTTTATCCAAAATGAATTCTACTAGTTCAATTTGATTTATCAATTTTAAATATAATTTTTTTATTTTTATATATTATTTAATATATTTAAATAGATTTAAGTATAAAGTAATTATTTTTATTTTATAAAAATATTAAAAAAATATATAAATCAATTCGATTGATTTTTTTTATTTTTCACTTTTCGATATTAAAAGAATGTTCAAACCTAATATATATATATATATATATATATATATATTTAATATGCCTCTCCAAGTTTGGTGTCCTTCACAACAATAATTTAGTCACTTGGATCTAGTTGTATCTCTCTTTTTTTTCATTAATAATAATAATTTCATTTTTAAAAAAAATTAAAATTGAATTTAATTCGAACTGAATAAAAAAAAATTAATCAAATAGTACTACGAGTTCAAATTAATTTTTTGTTTATTTTTTTTCTCATCCTTATCTAAATTTAACTCAATTAATTTATACATTAATTCTTAAAGAAATAACATTACAATAAGTTTAAAATTTGAATTTCAATACAATCTCTCATCTTATTCTCAAATTGTGACTTCTTATATATAAAAGAATTTTCATTTTTCCACTATCTATTATTATATATTATTATTTAAATATTATTAATTATAAATTATTTATAATATTATATTTATTATTTTTTAGATATTATTATTTATATTATTTTATATTATTATTTACAAAATTTATAAATTTTTTATTATTTATATTTAAGTTAAATATTTTTTTTAACAAATTCATCTATTCTATATGTTATTCGATATAGATAGAATTTATCATGTGCATGTTTATGTAAATATTAAAGTAGTGTTTGGTATTATTTTTAGATCATCATAGTAATTTAATTATCATAGTGATAAGATTATCAAAGTGATTTAATTACTGTAGTGATTTTAAATTATCATGTTTGATATAATATTATAAATTTTAGTGCTTTTAAATCACTGTATTTGATATTATATAAAAAAATAAATCATATAGTACAAAAATCTAAAATAACCTTATAAGAAAAAATAAAGTATTTAATATTTCTTAAATTAACAATTTATAAAATAGTTAAACATTATTTTATAAAAAATTACAAAGTATAAATTAATTTTGATAAAAATAATTTTTTAAAAAAATTATTCAATAAATTTATTCTTTTTTCTAATCAATAAAATTTGTAATATAAAACTTTTTTAAAATAAAGGATTAAAAATTTGGCTTTTTAAAAATTTTAGTAGCCGTTTCTTGAAATAATTTTAACTATATTTTTTGCGACGGTAAATCAATCAAAAAATAATATTGAATATTATTTTCTCATGGTGATAAATTTTTTTAAGTTAAGAATCATATCATTCCCTAAATAGTGATCTTAAATCATTAGAGAGTGATCATAGCCACATATAATTTTTAAATTGTTATAAAAAATGTAATGTAATTATTAAATACAGATTATTATAATTTTTAAATAAATCATCTTATATCAAATACTCTTTAAGTGATAAATTTAATCTTACTTTAAACGGCATATTCTTGATTAAAAAAAGTGGCTTTTTGATATAAGTATAGATTTGAAATAAATTCAAAAATAGCAAAGAAAATCAAATTTTTTTAAGTTGCAAAAAAAAAAAAGAAGAAGCATCGTGATAGATCCAATTTGCTTTAGCTTTGCGCTTGCATATGTTTGTTGATGAGACGGTGAGTCGGTGGGGTGGTTGTTTCCAGCTATGTAGCCTTAAGAGATCTGTTCACGTTTGGCCATAAACAAGTCTAGACTCAACAAAGCTGGTTAAGCAAATTAATATATTTAAATGCCAAAACCGCGTTCAACTCGAACAAGTTACAATTTCAACTACGACGGAAAAGAAGCAAATGATCAGGAGGCAGGAAAGTGAAAGAAACACCCTCCCAAAAGTCAAAAGAAGCTATCCTCAAATATTGAGAATCTATCGTTCTTTTTTTTTTTTTTTAAGTTTTTACAAAAGAAAATAAAAGAAGAAATCAGTAGTTTGTGAATAAAAAATGAGTTATAAGTATCATAGGGATATTAATAGATAAAGTATTAAGCGGTTAGAATATTTTATTTTTTTATTTTTTATATTATATCACCTATTTTTATATTTACAGTGAACGAATTTTTTAAATTTATCTTCATGTTTGTACATGTGATTTTTTTAAAAATATAAAAAATAAAAAATATTTTTTATTTTTATGTTATACATTTAAATAATTTTTTTATAGATATGTATTTTTAAATAGTAAATATATTATTTCTAATAAATTTAAAATTAAAATTCTATTATTAAATAAAAAATTAATTTATTAAATATATAAATTTATATAATATACAAAGCAGGACGGATTTTATACTACATATCCCTGTATTAATATTTGATAAAAAATTTAAAATTATACCAATTTTCATATTTATTTTTAAAATTTAATATCCACTTATGTCTTTATTAAAATAAAAAAATTAGATTCTTTATAAATTTGGATAAAATTAATATATCAAAATATTAAATTTAAAATTTAAACCTATTAAATATCATTTTTTAAAAATAATTATACAAAGTAACTGTTCCAAAATTTAGTTTATGTGGACTTCACTTGCTAGTGTTTGTTTCATTTTTGCATCCAAAGTTGATTATGATTTCATTCGAAAGTGAAATGCCAGCCAAACCAGTGTTGGATTTGGACTTATATGACGATAATTGTGCTTTCAAATGAAGTCTACACTTTGTGTTCCTTTTTATTTGACAAATAATTTGTGGTTTTTTAAAGATATTTGTCACAATTTCATTTAAAGTTTTACGCAGCTATTAATGTCGCTGAGAGAAAAAAAAATGGAAGGAATAGAAGGTGACTGCAAGCAAGTTGAAGAAATATATATTTTTTAAAAGTAGTTTTGAGTTTGTCGATTTTAATACTTCATTTTAAAATTTTTTCAGCTTAGCTCAGCATCTCTTGTTGTTTACGGTGGATCAAGATCAAATATTTAAATTCTTTAATTATATATTTTTTATTAAAAACAAAACATAATAACATATGTTAAAATTATAATAATGTTAAGAAATTATAATCTTATATAATTAATATTCATGCCTCTTAATTGGCTCATAAAAAATTTTATCCCTCGGGATGAGATGGACCTTAAGCCCTCACCCATGCTCAAAGAACGGGTCCTACTCACACTCCAACGGGGCTTTAATCATATCCTTTGATTAAAGAAACAAGCAATTCACAACATTTTATATTTACTAGAAAAACTACTTCGTTACCAAATTGTAGAGATATTATAATAATTTTGATCAATTAAGATAAAAATGGTATTTTAGTAATTATATTAAAAGGAGTATTATAGTAATTTTAATTAATCACAGAAAGAGAAGCATTATAATCAATTTGGATACATGTAATTCAATTACCAAATGATTAAATGGCATTATAATCATTTATATGAAGATTCATTTCACAGTATTATATGAATATTAAAATTTAATTCGTAATTATGAAACAATCAAAAAAATATTTTCATAATTATAATTAGAAAATATTATAGTAATTTTGGTCAATTATAATTGAGGGGTATTTTCGTGATTATGGTTGGAGAGAGACATGGTATATAAGAAAATAAAAGTGGGTTTTTTTTTGTAACTATGCGTTAAAAGGTATTAGAGTAATTTTAGCCAATTATAATATGAGGGATATTTTCGTAACTCTAGTTAGAGGGTTTTAAGTAGTTTTGGAAATATATAATATGATAGAATTTTTCGTAAATATGGTATGAGAGGCCATTATAGTACTTTGATAAATGAATGATAGGAAGGGATTTACATAATTATGATTGTATTGGCATTTATAATAACTTTGAATCAACTTGGTAGAGTAGGTATTTTAGTAATTGTGTAAAATGGCATATAGTAATTTTAGTTAATCATAGAAAGAGGGGCATTCACTTTCAATTTGGATGCAGTAATTTAATTTTTTCAATAATAAAAAAAGTATTATGATAACTTTTAAGGGGATTAATTTCACATGGGAATCATTTTAAAATGGTCACTTAACAATGAGTTCATTTTAAAATGGTCATTGAAGTATTAAAGTTTTAAATTTAGTCACCAACGTTTGAATTAGTAGTTTTTTAGGTCATTGTATTGTTAAACTATACCGTTTTTCTAACATGGCTT